CTCGTCCACAATACCTGCCATCCTGCACTACCATACTCGTCCACAATACCTGCCATCCTGCACTACCATACTCGTCCACAATACCTGCGCATCCTGCACTACCATACTCGTCCACAATACCTGCCATCCTGCACTACCATACTCGTCCACAATACCTGCCATCCTGCACGATGGTACTCATGGTGGGTTACAACACTTACTCCCGGGTTATGTTTGTCTTCTTCGCCGATCATCATTTGTCTCTCCAGGACGGTAAGAAAGATATATCTGTTGTAAATATTTGTTACACCTTAACTTTTGTGCTGAGAGAGAGAGAGAGAGAGAGAGAGAGAGAGAGAGAGAGAGAGAGAGAGAGAGAGAGAGAGAGAGAGAGAGAGAGAGAGAGAGAGAGAGATGACTCCAACTTAACCATGTTCCCTGTCTGTATATATCTGAACAATAAAATGGCTTTCGAATGAGCTGGTGTGAGTAGCAGCTATTAGTTTGTCGATAAAATTAGGAACCCTAAATCTAACCTAACCTATCCTAACCTAACCTAACCTAACCTAACCTAAACTAACTAACCTAACCTAACCTAACTAACCTAACCTAACTAACCTAACCTAACCTAACCTAACCTAACCTAACCTAACCTAATCTAACCTAACTAACCTAACCTAACCTAACCTAACCTAACCTAACCTAACCTAACCTAAATCTAACCTAACCTAACCTAACCTAACCTAACCTAACCTAACCTAATCTAACCTAACCTAACCTAACCTAACCTAACCTAACCTAACCTAATCTAACCTAATCTAACCTAACCTAACCTAACCTAACCTAACCTAACCTAATCTAACCTAACCTAACCTAACCTAACCTAACCTAACCTAATCTAAACCTAAACCTAACCTAAATCTAACCTAACCTAACCTACCTAACCTAACCTAACCTAACCTAACCTAACCTAACCTAACCTAACCTAACCTAACCTAACCTAACCTAAATCTAACCTAACCTAACCTAAATTCTAACCTAACCTAACCTAATCTAACCTAACCTAACCTAACCTAACCTAACCTAACCTAACCTAAATCTAACCTAACCTAACCTAACCTAACCTAACCTAACCTAACACTAACCTAACCTAAATCTAACCTAACCTAACCTAACCTAACCTAACCTAACCTAACCTAACCTAACCTAATCTAACCTAACCTAACCTAACCTAACCTAACCTAACCTAACCTAACCTAAATCTAACCTAAACCTAACCTAACCTAACTAACCTAACCTAACCTAACCTAACCTAATCTAACCTAACCTAACCTAACCTAACACTAACCTAACCTAACCTAACTTAAATATAATCTAACGTAACCTAACCTAACCTAACCTAACCTAACCTAACCTAACCTAACCTAAATCTAACCTAACCTAACCTAACCTAACCTAACCTAACCTAACCTAACCTAACCTAACCTAACCTAACCTAACCTAACCTAACCTAACCTAACCTAACCTAACCTAAATCTAACCTAACCTAACCTAACCTAACCTAACCTAACCTAACCTAACCTAACCTAACCTAACCTAACCTAACCTAACCTAATCTAACCTAATCTAACCTGACCAGCCTAACCGAACCTAACCGAACCTTGTAACTCCCTGTGTAAAAAGAGTGTGTGCATGAGGGAGAGAGAGAGAGAGAGAGAGAGAGAGAGAGAGAGAGAGAGAGAGAGAGAGAGAGAGAGAGAGAGAGAGACAGAGAGAGACAGACAGACAGACAGACAGACAGACAGAGAGAATACGTCTCTGAGTGCCAGTACTTGTGTGGATCCCTCTAGACTCGTCCTCTCAACCCGCACTGTTGTGGTCCGCACATCTTCGGCTGCACTGGAAGCGCCGCATCAGCACTACTTAGCGCCTCTACCTTCTTCCTCCGTTAAAAAACTGCGCATATGTTAACCATAATTTGTGCACCAAGGCAAGAGTGCCGACCAGACCTGAATAATTAAGGTGTGTGTGTGTGTGTGTGTGTGTGTGTGTGTGTGAGTTCTCCCATACTGTGACATCAATTAACAATGATTAACGTCTTGATGAACGTACTGTCCCTGTCTCTCTCTCTCTGTCTCTCTCTCTCTCTCTGTCTGTCTCTCTCTCTCCCTCTGGCTGTCTGTCTGTCTGTCTCTCTCTCTCTCTCTGTTTCTCTCTCTCTCTCTCTCTCTCTCTCTCTCTCTCTCTCTCTTCTCTCTCTCTCTCTCTCTCTCTCTCTCTCTCTCTCTCTCTCTCTTCTCTCTCTTCCTCTCTCTCTCTCCACTCGGCAAGGAAGAAAGCATTTGTCTTCAACTAATAAAAATGAATGATCTCTCTGATGAGGCACTCACTGGACTTCCTACTCCGCAACATTGCAAGCTCCTGATGATGTGTTGATTGCAACACGAAAGGCCTAGAGCAATCATTTAACTCTCCTCATGGGAGTTAAATGATAGCTTTAGGCCTTTCGCTTAATACTTTGTTGATGGTAATGTTTGGCTGAAATACGTCCTTGACGACCTACCTGTGGTCGTCAGGATGTGAACCTGTGACACGATTAGGTTCCCCATTACGAAATTTTAATGTGTCAGTAAGAATCATTCGCTTAGGCCAGTGGTTCCCAAACTGGGGGTAAATTACCCCCTGGGGGTAATTTAACCATTTTTGGGGGGTAATGGAGGGGTGACAGAAAAAAAGTTATGAATTCTGAAAATCAAGAAAACAATGCGGTACCCGGTATGAGGATTATTGTTAACTTTGTCTTAGTATATAAAGTTGTAAAGTAAACCTATTATAAGTAAGTAATAAAGTTAAACCAAATAACAATAAACATCAAAAACTAATATACAGTATTAGAAAAGAAGAAATATATAGCTAAGTGTGTGGAAACCCAAAAGTATTTTGACAAGTATGCTTCAGGACAAAAGTCACTCAGTAGCCCAGATCGACCTGTCCAGTACGCGTCACTCACTTCCTGAGGCTGCCTCTATTTCACACTGTCAGTTTATCTGTGAGCATCAGCCGAGGTAGACATAAGCTGGTATGTATGTGTACTGCCCTGTGCAGTATATAGTTAGTATTTACCCACTGTTACTGTGAATTTGTAGCTATTATTAATTTTATATATAATGTATGTGTGGTTCTTACGTTTTCAATGGTTTTGCTAGGATTAGCAGAGTATGCGAGGCTGTATACGTTCACGTTTAGCCATATATATCAATAATAACAACATTTTGTGAAAGGGGTAACATGCTTTATGTGGCATGTTAAATTGGGTAACAAGCTGAAAAAGTTTGGGAACCACTGGCTTAGGCTGTTGCTGTTAGGGAAATGTTCAGTTCTGAATTGTTTAGAGAACAGTGAAGAACTTGTTCAACAGGAACAAGTTACTCAGCGTAACAAGATAAGAAAGGAGGAGCACTGCAGCAGGCCTACTGGCTCATACTTGGCAAGTCTTTCTCAAACCCACTAACTTAAAGATCACTTTAATTTATGAGGAGGGAAGTTGTGTATTAAGTGGTCAACCATAACTCAAAGTGAACAGCAGGTGTGGGAAGTGCCAAGAGCAAGTGGCAACTTAACAAGTGTTCAAAAGATATAGGAGAAAGCTGAAATACAAGTGTGTCCAATCAGGTGGGATTGAATACTCCAGCCATGGGTGTATTCAACACTCCTACCATGGGTGTACTAAACTCGCCCACCATGGGTGTACTAAACACCCTACCATGGGTGTACTAAACTCGCCCACCATGGGTGTACTAAACACCCTACCATGGGTGTACTAAACACCCTACCATGGGTGTACTAAACACCCTACCATGGGTGTACTAAACACCCTACCATGGGTGTACTAAACTCGCCCACCATGGGTGTACTAAACACCCTACCATGGGTGTACTAAACTCGCCCACCATGGGTGTACTAAACACCCTACCATGGGTGTACTAAACACCCTACCATGGGTGTACTAAACTCGCCCACCATGGGTGTACTAAACACCCTACCATGGGTGTACTAAACTCGCCCACCATGGGTGTACTAAACACCCCACCATGGGTGTACTAAACACCCTACCATGGGTGTACTAAACACCCCACCATGGGTGTACTAAACACCCCACCATGGGTGTACTAAACACCCCACCATGGGTGTACTAAACACCCCACCATGGTGTACTAAACACCCTACCATGGGTGTACTAAACACCCCACCATGGGTGTACTAAACACCCCACCATGGGTGTACTAAACACCCCACCATGGGTGTACTAAACACCCCACCATGGGTGTACTAAACACCCCACCATGGGTGTACTAAACACCCCACCATGGGTGTACTAAACAGTGACCCGAAACTGCCAGACACCTGAAATCTCAAAATCAAAACTGAGAACAATGTTTGTCTGTTGTCTTCCTCATCACTGTTATAAAACACTCACAAATATACCAAATAAAACTCAAAATGCGGTTTATGTCATTGTAATCAGTAGATGTTTCGCCCATTAGGGACTATCACTTGGTTAAGTCCCCGGTGGGCGACACGCTTTCTCAGCAGGCCTAGCATGGGCCAGTAGGCCTGCGGCAGTGCTCTTTCTTACGTTCTCTTGTAAAATACGACTTAAATGCACATAATGTCTATTGACGTGCACTTTCTCTATATTAAAAGCGAAAAGTTACCATTCAGTCGATAAGAATGGTTAGCCATAACCACCACACATTACTACTACCATTGCTACTACTACCATAAGTCCTGTAACTACTACTACTACTACCACCACCACCAAAAAATACCATAATACCACCAAAATACTACCACAAATACTTGACAAAGTTCCTGAAGAGCGAAACGTTGCCGCAATAAAATGTCACATTAGCTGCACTTGTGTCCTTTTACCTAACCAGGTTAATCAGGTTAACTGTGTATTGTAAACATGGCCATGCAAGAAACATTGTTAATTAACCTCCTGTTGTTGTTACTTACAGATGTGTTTCTGGGGCCCGTTGATGACTACGTCTTGGCCCCTGTGGCTCGCTTCTCGGGGGCCTGGAATGTGCCGCTGCTGACCCCAGGGGGCCAGCCCAGTGCTTTCGACAGTCGTAAGGACTATCCTCTGCTCACCAGACTCAAGGGATTCTACACAGAGGTCAGTCCCACTGCAGATAATTTGTATAATTATACACATTCGTGACCTAATGTATCGACGGCTGGGGAAGATTTATAGTCGGTGTAGGATTAATTTTTCTTTTTTTTTAAATTTGTGATTATCTAGGCTCGCAGAATTGTTTGAAATTTCTATAAATGGGGGATAATACAACTTTTCTCCCAAGAGCTTTATTAAGCTCTGAGAAAAACGTTATCTTAATAAAAAAAAAGATTTCTCTGTAATATCTCTGAGTTATCCAGACGTAACAATCGATTTTTCGCCACTAGTAATATTCCATGCTAGGGATGTCTCAGTGGCCTCTTTTTAATCGAAATCAGCGGGAATTAACTTTTTATGGGGTATTTGTAAGAAGTGGGAAGGGTGTGTAGAGAAAGAGAGAGACAGAGAGAGAGAGAGAGAGAGACAGACAGACAGAAAGAGAGAGAGAGAGAGGAGAGAGAGAGAGAGAGAGAGAGAGAGAGAGACCAACTAGGCTATGGCAATCCCTCCTATCCTAGCAGAATTAGAACACAACTTGAGTGAATCCAGTCATTCTCAGCTGATACCCCTCAATATATAACCTAGAATCTCCCCATTCCGAACCGAGAAGAATCCCGTTTGCAAGAACTGCGTTAGTAAACAAGAATCTCACAAGATGTTACTGCTACTGGAAGGAAGTAAAGACTACGTCGACTTACTACTGGCTGAAGAGTTTTGCGTGTTGAGAGAAGCACCGGGTATCAAGGTCGTCTAGGCGGCTGATTGGGGGGGGAAAGAGAGTTTGAAGCTCTAACTTTGATTGCATTAGCAAACCAGGGGATTCTAACTCGAATATATTAGGATTAAGGGGAATCCGAACCGAGTTAATAAGGTTACACACGAGGAGGGAGTGGGAGAGAATGGGATGGACTGGGGGAGAGTGAGAGGGAGTGGGGAAGAGTGAGAGGGAGTGGGGGAGAGTGAGAGGGAGTGGGGGAGAGTGAGAGGGAGTGGGGGAGAGTGAGAGGGAGTGGGGGAGAGTGAGAGGGAGTGAGGGAGAGTGAGAGGGAGTGGGGGAGAGTGAGAGGGAGTGGGGGAGAGTGAGAGGGAGTGTGAGAGGGAGTGGGGGAGAGTGAGAGGGAGTGGGGGAGAGTGAGAGGGAGTGGGGGAGATGAGAGGGAGTGGGGGAGAGTGAGAGGGAGAGTGGGGAGAGTGAGAGGGAGTGGGGGAGAGCGAGAGGGAGTGGGGGAGAGTGAGAGGGAGTGGGGGAAGTGGAGGGAGTGGGGAGTGAGAGGGAGTGGGGAGAGTGAGAGGGAGTGTGAGAGGAGTGGGGAGGTGAGAGGGAGTGGGGGAGAGTGAGAGGGAGTGGGGGAGAGTGAGAGGAGTGTGAGAGGAGAGTGGGAGAGGGAGTGTGAGAGGGAGTGGGGGGGAGAGAGTGAGAGGGAGTGGGGAGTGAGTGAGGGAGTGTGAGAGAGTGAGAGGGAGTGTGAGAGAGTGAGAGGGAGTGTGAGAGAGTGAGAGGGAGTGTGAGAGAGTGAGAGGGAGTGTGAGAGAGTGAGAGGAGTGTGAGAGAGTGAGAGGGAGTGTGAGAGAGTGAGGGAGTGTGAGAGAGTGAGAGGGAGTGTGAGAGAGTGAGAGGGAGTGTGAGAGAGTGAGAGGGAGTGTGAGAGAGTGAGAGGGAGTGTGAGAGAGTGAGAGGGAGTGTGAGAGAGTGAGAGGGAGTGTGAGAGAGTGAGGGAGTGTGAGAGAGTGAGAGGGAGTGTGAGAGAGTGAGAGGGAGGTGTGAGAGAGTGAGAGGGAGTGTGAGAGAGTGAGGGAGTGTGAGAGAGTGAGAGGGAGTGTGAGAGAGTGAGAGGGAGTGTGAGAGAGTGAGAGGGAGTGTGAGAGAGTGAGAGGGAGTGTGAGAGAGTGAGAGGGAGTGGGAGAGTGAGAGGAGTGTGGAGAGGAGGAGTGTGAGAGAGTGAGAGGGAGTGTGAGAGAGTGAGAGGGAGTGTGAGAGAGTGAGAGGGAGTGTGAGAGTGTGAGAGGGAGTTGTGAGAGTGAGAGGGTAGTGTGAGAGAGTTCAGGTAGTTACGAGTGTTATGGTAAAGTAACAACAACAGTCATTTACACTTGTGACAATCTTGGAGAGTGATGGTAGGAAATAATTTTGGAGAGCAGCACTGCAAATGGAAGGAGAGCAGGCCACTGGAAGGCAGCAAGGCAGGTCGCTGGAAGGCAGCCGGGCAGGTCCCTGGAAGGCAGCAGGGCAGGTCACTGGAAGGCAGCAGGGCAGGTCACTGGAAGGTAGCAGGGCAGGTCACTGGAAGACAGCCGGGCAGGTCCCTGGAAGGCAGCAGGGCAGGTCACTGGAAGGTAGCAGGGCAGGTCACTGGAAGACAGCCGGGCAGGTCCCTGGAAGGCAGCAGGGCAGGTCACTGGAAGGCAGCAGGGCAGGTCACTGGAAGGTAGCAGGGCAGGTCACTGGAAGGTAGCAGGGCAGGTCACTGGAAGACAGCAGGGCAGGTCACTGGAAGACAGCAGAGCAGGTCACTGGAAGACAGCAGGGCAGGTCACTGGAAGACAGCAGGGCAGGTCACTGGAAGACAGCAGGGCAGGTCACTGGAAGACAGCAGGGCAGGTCACTGGAAGACAGCAGGGCAGGTCACTGGAAGGCAGCAGGGCAGGTCACTGGAAGGCAGCAGGGCAGGTCACTGGAAGACAGCAGGGAAGGTCACTGGAAGACAGCAGGGCAGGTCACTGGAAGACAGCAGGGCAGGTCACTGGAAGGCAGCAGGGCAGGTCACTGGAAGGCAGCAGGGCAGGTCACTGGAAGGCAGCAGGGCAGATCACTGGAAGGCAGCAGGGAAGGTCACTGGAAGGCAGCAGGGCAGGTCACTGGAAGGCAAGAGCAGAGTAGGTCACAGTAATCACACAACAAATCACAGAGGAAGGGTCACAGCAAAGCAGGTCACAACCTGGGGCTCCAGGCTGACTAAAATAATCTCATCAATCACCTACAGTGATTGAAGAACCTACATACTTATCATTTATTTAAATATCTCCTGTAATATATGTAAGTTAGTGAACATTTGCCCAGAGGTCTAGTGAGACAGTATTTTTTTTCTCTAGGTATGGCGAGCAGTGGTCTCGTAATTCATTTCGATGATCAAGTTAATCCTCTTCATTGATCGTGTGATCCTCTTTTCAGTGATCTAGTAATCCCATTAAGTCATCTAGAAATCCTTCTCAGTGATCTAGTAATTCCTATTCAGCAATATTCCTAGATGTTTAAATTCTCTCAGGTTTGTTTTGTCTGTTCTTACGTTCGTGTAGCCCAGGAAAGTGGCTGGTCAAGGTCAATGTCAAGGTCAAGGTCAATGATATGGTCAGGGTTCAGGGTCAGGGTAAGTGTCAAGGTCAGTGCCAAGGTCAAGGTTTATGATAGGGTCAGGTTTCAAGGTCTATGATAGGGTCAAGGTCAGTGCCTAGGTCAAGGTCTATGATAGGGTCAGGGTTCTAGGTCAAGGTCTATGATAGGGCCAAGGTCAGTGCCAAGGTCAGTGTCCAGATCAGTGTCAAGGCCAGTGTCAAGGTCAGTGTCCAGATCAGTGTCAATGCCAGTGTCAAGGTCAGTGTCAAGATCAATGCCAAGGTCAGTGTCAAAGTCGTTGACAAGGTGGGTTCGTAATGTTAATTACTAAACAGAGACAATCCTGCATAAATTTACATACGATTCCCATAATTCTTTGGACAGTAATTACGGCCACATCAGCGCCTCGGCCTAATTAACTGAAACTCCAAATATTTTACTGTGTTATGACCAAGAGGAATTTTTTTAGAGGGCGAAGATAATCACATTATCTCCAATAACCTCGAGTGAGTGAGAAAGAGAGAGAGAGGAGAGAGAGAGAGAGAAGAGAGAGAGAGAGAGAGAGAGAGAGAGAGAGAGAGAGAGAGAGAGAGAGAGAGAGAGAGAGAGAGAGAGAGAGAGAGAGAGAGAGAGAGAGAGAGAGAGTGAGTGAGACAGACAGACAGAGAAATCCACATATCTGTCTATACTGCCCCAGTCAGGATAACCGCCTTAACTCTCCCAAGGATACAAACACTTACCTTTTTGAAATCCGTAATTTGCAAAATCACTTTTTCTATATATATATATATACATCGTTAGATATCTTTTTTTTGAAGGGGGGGGGGCGGGGTTAGAAAAGTGATTAAATGCGTATTTTGGATAAAGTAATCAGTGCGTATCTTTAGTAGTTAAAAATCACCATTGCTTAATTTAGATTAGCCCAGAATGAAACATTCTTTAAGATATATATATATATATATATATATATATATATATATATATATATATATATATATATATATATATATATATATATATATAATATATATATATATATATATATATATATATATATATATATATATATATATATTATATATATATATCATTATATTCATATTTATTTGAGCTGTTTTTTGTCAAGAATAAATTTTGATATTGCTAATTTGACTAGCATCTATATCGGTGGAAAAAACAGCCGATACCAGCCGATACTTTTAAAATATAAATTATACAAATGTCCTTAAAATATCATAATTAACTTTTTACCTTCTGTGACTTTAAAGTTTATTAAGGACACTACCAGAATAATTACTATTTTTACTGCTGTGAGTCGCAACACGAAGTAGCACATATTCCTTCTAAGGCTAATTACTGTCTTTATTGTGGAGGAGATTCATCAGTCTTTATTGTAGAGGAGATTCATTAGTCTTTATTGTGGAGGAGATTCATCAGTCTTTATTGTGGAGGAGATTCATCAGTCTTTATTGTGGAGGAGATTCATTTAGTCTTTATTGTGGAGGGGATTCATCAGTCTTTACTGTGGAGGAGATTCATCAGTCTTTATTGTAGAGGAGAGATTCACCAGTCTTTATTGTAGAGGAGATTCATCAGTCTTTATTGTGGAGGAGATTCATCAGTCTTTATTGTGGAGGAGATTCATCAGTCTTTATTGTAGAGGAGATTC